GGTCATGATCCTGGAGTCCCGGGATCGAGTCCCACATCGGGCTCCCTGCTCAGCGGGGAGTCTGCTTCTCCCTCTGACCCTCTTCCCTCTCGTGCTATCTCTCATTCTCTCTCTCTCAAATAAATAAATAAAATCTTTAAAAAAAAAAAAATCTTTGGTCTTCATCATCTTAAATCTTCAGACAAAGCCATCACCACACACCCTCCAAAATCCCCGGGGTTATGGCCTTATTTACAGTATTCTTAAGTCAACACAATAAAAACCATTCTTAGAATAAGAGCTACATACAGACTAGGTTACAAAACAGACTTTTTACCAAAAAAAAAACAAAAAACCAACTCCTTCACTATAGTGCAATAAACTTGTGTGCTAGGCAGCTGGAAAAAAAGAGGGAATCATACTAGCTTATACACAACCCCATTCTTACCTACCATTTAGTACTGCAACTAAAACCAACCCCTATCTAGGGGCGAAGTATGACTAGCTCCAATATGTAAAACATGAACTAAGGAATTAAAAGTGGCAAAAAGTCCTACCTTCATGAAGCCAAAAATCTACTCAAAGAGGAGCTCTAAAAGTTTCTTAACCAGCATAGTAATATGATTAAAAGCATGTTTTAAAATGTTGAGAGGTGAAGATGGAAAAAGAGGACATAAATGTGACAGAATGTTATCAATGTTCATTAAGAAATATCATTCCCTCTTGCTGCCTCCTATCTCAAGCCCACATAATCATGTTCCTTACCCTTTGCTAAGATCTTCCCAGAGGGCTCAAACCTAACTGCTATTCACCCACCCTTCATGCGTAAGCTTATGTCACTTCCTCAAGAAACATTTTTTAACCCCCAAGGATCAGATGAGGTCTCCTCATAATATGCTCTCATACTGCCCTGTATTTCTTTACAGCACCTACCACAACTCTGTTTTTATTTTTTTTAAGATTTTATTTATTTGAGAAAGAGTGAGAGAGAATCAGTGGGGGGATGGGGAGAGAGAGAGAGAAGCAGGCTCCCCATTGAGCAGGGAGCCTGATGTGGGGCTGGATCCCCAGACCCCAGGATCATGACCTGAGCCAAAGGCAGCTGCTTAACTGACTAAGCCACTCAGACGACCCCACAACTCTATTTTTAAAACTATGTATTAATTAATGTCTTCCCCACTAGACTGTTAGCTCCACTCTATTCCAGTGCCTACCACATGTCTGGAACAGAGCAAATACATACTATCTGTTGAATAAATGATTATGAAACCATAGGTCCCAGTTTTCCAGGCAAGTCCAAATATCAAATACTGATTTACTGTCAACAATTAGGGATTTGGAAAACAGGATCATTATACATTTAACCACACTCATGTTACAAATGCAAATAAGCATTCTGCTTTGACCAATGTTTTCCAAAGAGGTACAGTTTTAATTAGAAAAAACTAGTACCACTGACTCTCATCACAAATTATTTCTCCTTAGAGAAATGGATACATATTATTGACAGATACTTGAAGAGAGAAGAATATTTTCCTAGGAGGGTCGCCTGGGTGGCTCAGTCGTTCGGCGTCTGCCTTCAGCTCGGGTCATGATCTCGGGATCCTGGGATCAAGCCCCACATCGGGCTCCCTGCTCCACGGGAGGCCTGCTTCTCCCTCTCCCACTCCCCCTGCTTGTGTTCCTGCTCTCGCTGTCTCTCTCTCTGTCAATTAAGTAAATAAAATCTTTAAAAAAAAAATGTTTTCCTAGGAAAGTCTAATTACTTATTGACTGCTTTTTGCCTGAATGACTTTCAACTGAATATTACTTAG